AGGGTTTGCAAAAGAAATGAGATGTTAGTGATTGTACGGAAAGCTCAAGCGATGCCAGGTTGCTTTCTCAGCTGCAAAAGGTGATCCTTGCTCAGGGCCGGCAGGGAGCCTGCGGTGGAGCAGGCATTGCCTAGCAGCTCCCGCGCCATAGAGGCCCAAAACGCTGGGTACCCCGCGTGCTCTGAGCTTGTGCTTGACCCCACGTCTGGGTTTCTCATGCTCTTTTCTACTCCATTTGAGGCCTTTTGGGTTCCCACACGGTCCCGACCCAGCACTGGGATGTGTGGTCTGGCCTGTGGTTCCCCTGCGGAAGCACGTTTGGCTCCGTGGGGAGCAGCCAGGTGGGACGGGGGCACAGCAGGACAGGGGGCTGCAGGCATTTGTGTGCATGAGGCTGCCGGCGGGTTCGCTCCCTGTCACCCTCTGTCGGCTCCAGTCGAAGGGAATGGGGTGGAAACGTGTGTGCTTTCCCTGTGCCACTGCGCGCATTCTTTCCGCACTCACTAATAAATCCGTGCTGTTTTTTCCCGGAAGGCTGCTGAACCAGTTTGTTGGAAAAGCAGAGGAGATGGCTATGGGGCATCGCCTAGTGGCTTGGATTTTTCCCTTTTTCATGTCGCACCGGCCAGGAGGGCAGCTCTGGTGTTTCTTTAACCGCAGCTGAAAAGCTGCTGTTCCAGTGTGGTGGTGTTTGTCTCCAAAAGGAGGTGGTTTAGGTTTCACCGGCTCCACCTGACGGGAATTCGAGCAGGCACTAAAACTAGGGCTTCTTGTGCCTCCTTATCGGCATTATCTGCTCCGCTGCAGCAGCCGTGGGGAGCGGGGGAGCCCGGTGCTGCACTGGGGGTGGCGCGAGTCCCCGGGATCTGCTCCAGGCAGCCCCCACCTCCCAGGGCTGAGTCACCAACGGGCCAAGTGCGTTTGCTGCTGGTGTGACGGCAGCTGTGAGACCCAAAAAAAACCCAGCACTGATGCTTTTAATGACAGGCGAGTAACACAGCCCTGAAGAAGATTCATACCGTGCATACCTCATGCGACGGCTATTAGTGGTGACTAAGGCTGTGCTGGGATGGAGCAGCGACAGCCTCCCCGCATCGCCCAAGTCCTGGCGTAATTAATTCTGCAGGTACCTGTATCGCCACATTAACCCAAACTGGCCGTCTTCCCGCCTGTCCCCAGCCTTGTTCCATATTTAATCTTTCATGTTCACCTGAGTCTCTAATTAAGCCAACTGCAATCCTTAGCTGAGAGCCCGCAGTTTACTAACGAGGTCTGGCGTTCCCGGGGCGCCGTGCATGCGAGACCCACACAGCAGCCCACCAAAAACAACCCCCGTGATGATGTTTTTTTCCTTTGGTTTCTCTTTCTCTTTTTTGGTGTGTTGTCCCCCCAGGCCCCTGAACTAACACTGGTCCCAAAGCAGGGTCTGAAGTGAGGGCCCGTTAGCAGCAAAGTTCTCAAAAACGGCGTGTGGGGACTGTCTTTTTTTTTTTTTTTTTTCCCCTCCCCTTTTGTTACAGCAAAGTCATGACCAGTTAGTTTGAGGTATCTGAAAAGTGCTTTTATTGGGTTTCTTTTCACTGGCAGCAGCTGTCCAGAGAGCTCGTGTCTGCGTGAGGCAGGGCAGCACGGAAACCCCACGTGCTGCTTCCCAGGCAGCCGGCGGAGGAGGCCCGCGGC